TTTGGGTGAGGAAGAGTGATAAAGCATGAAGGGTGATGCCGTGCATTGTTGTTTTGTGAGGAAAGAGTATAAAGCACGAAGAGTGATGCCGTGCTACATGATGTACCATTTCGTGCCGATTCTATTGATTATTTGGTGAGGAAAGAGAGTAAAAGCACGAAGGGTGATGTCGTGCACATTTCTATTATATATTTGTTTTGGTGAGGACGAGAGTAAAAGCACAAAGGGTGATGCCGTGCATTTATTGATTCCTGATTCTTTATTGGTATCCGAGTTATGTTGGTTCTTTCCTTACTTGATGCCTTTCTATTCAGAACTGTTATCTCCCCCACAACATGTTTCCCCTTCCCACATTGATTGGTTATTTTTGTATTTTCTTTTCCGTTGTATATATTTAAACTACACAGGTTTATTTGGTAGTCTAGTCCTAGCCTCGTCACTACTTCGCCGAGGTTAGGCTAGGCACTTACCAGCACATGAGGTTGGTTGTGCTGATACTACACTCTGTATTGTGTGCAGATCTCGGAGAAGCTTTCGGACAGTAGTTGGAGGGCTTCCTTCAGTCCACCCGGAGACCCAAGATAGACCTGCAGGCGTCCGCGGGCCCTGGCGTCTCCCTCTATCTCTATTTCCTGTTTCCTTCTCTTTTATTCAGAAACAGTATACTGTTATTTCTTCAGACCTTGTATGTAGTAACCTTAGATAGTCTGTGATACTGTGACACCAGATTTTGGGTATTTGAGATTTTAAAATCTGTAATAGACGTTGGTTTCAGATATTTCATTGTTGTCTTCCACTTAATTATTTAAAGTTTCGTTGTTTTCATGTTATCGCTTATATTTGTTAAAAAGAAGTAATTTGATAATGAAGTAGGTAGTTAAGGTTTGGCTTGCCTAGTTCTCATTAGTAGGCGCCATCACGACTCCCGAGGGAGGGAAATTCGGGTCGTGACACACACACTAACTAATGATAAAATAAATAAAAATCATGCGAAAGAAAAAAAATGTTAGAATTAGAGGGAAATAAAATATTGTGGTGATGGAAATAACAAAAAACATAATAAACCCTTTAATTTAATTCGGATACATGTACATGAGCCCCTGAACAATTGCATTTCCAGTAGCTTAATTCCAGTCTTTCACTCCATCAGAGGCTTTGGTTTTTATCACAAATAATATCAATCAACTCCTTGAAAGATAGTGTAGTAAAAGCTACTAAACTTTGAGAAAAGATCAGAGAAGGAAAAGAGAATAAGAAAAATTAACCTTCGACTTTTTTCTGGTATATACAACACATGCATCTAGTTTACTTCATCTGCCGGCAACATTAGTTGCTTCTTCCCTATTTTTCAATAAACATTTTGAACTAAAGAAAAATCACAAGAAATATCAAAAGACAAATCCGATTGGGAATTGAGATTTTTTGCATTATACACTTACAGTTATAGAGCAGTTGATATAAGCGAATCATCATAGATTTACTTCACACAACTCTAAAAAAATAAAAACTCTAACTTCTATGATAACAACAATATATTTTTCAAAGTCTCTATCTATCTACAGATATCCTAAAATGTTCTTATTCTTTGATCATCTCTGGTGACATTTAAATATCTCAAAGTGTTCTCAGAATTCTAAGAGTCAACAAAACATAATGATACCTAATACATCTGTCTTCAATGGTCTAATTAAGTATTTACCCGTTTTGTCTATTCTTTTGTTAATTGAGTTATTAAATGAATTATTGCTAGTTGTAGGAATTAAATCGAACAAACTCTAGTTATATCATACTTTAATTGGTTATTAATGGATTTCTTCAGCTGATGAGATAATTCATTAGTAATTTAATTGTGAAAATGATGGCTTTCTTCAACGGGTGAGAAAACCATAAAGATGACTTGCTTTTGTTTTCAACAATAATTACTCCTATCCATTACAATATGCAAGGCATCATTAGTAATTATTCATTATCATAAGAAAATTAATTCTCTTAGATACATCATTGCCAGAACACCAAAGGTCTTGGTAAAAACTAAAAACTGACCATTCACGGGTTGCCTTTCTCTATGATTCTTAAAAGTACACTATTCATTATGAAATATATTTACTATTTTGTATATTATTGTTATTAAAATAGTGATTCTTTGAAGGGCAAAAATGTCGTTCAAATTTTTGATGGGCATTTTAGTAATTCTATCTTACCTAAAAGTCTTCATACATATAATATAGTGTGTGTATATATATATAGTTAGTATATAGTATGATGATTATGGTTATGTACTGTCACACCTCCTTTTTGCGCGCCCGCCCCCGGAAGGTTAAATGCGCGAGGGAGTTTTTCCAATTTAAGTGACAATATTCGAAATGGGATTATTTATTTGATTCAGAGTCGCCACTTGGGAAAGGTTTGGTTTTTGGTGTCCCAAGTCACCGGTTTATCTTGAATCCCAAATCGAGGAAATATTCGACTTTTCCAAATGAAATCTGCGAACCAGAAATTCTAAGTAAGGAATTCTGTTGACCCGAGGGAAGGTGTTAGGCACCCTCGAATCCCGTGGTTCTAGCACGGTCGCTTAAATTGTTATAATGGCTAAATATCTGATTTAAATACATGTTATGACTTACATGCTTTTATTAAGTTTAAACCGCTTTTATTATTATCATTTATTTTTGTAGAATTGCAACGTCGTGAAAATGCATCTCAAACCACGTCACAAATCAATGCACCCGTGGTCGTCGACACATTTTGACTCCGTTGAGACTTGGATTTGGGTCACATCAATGTGCACCCATGTTTAAGAAGGCTAAATTATTAAAGGTGCTCCTAAAGCAACTAGTGTATTGTTACTTTTGGGAAAGGCCATGAAGTTTACTAAAGGGCCTGCCCTGAATTCTAAATATTTATTATGTTTAGCTATTGAGGGCCCCGCAATTTGCATTTTTATTTGGCGAGGCTCGTCTCATTATTTTAGAAAAAGGATATCCTGAAGCGTCTACATTTCTATCACATTTGTCTCTAATAAAAAAAAAGATTACGTGCTAATTACATGCTTGACTCGCTTCGGATCCTTACTTGATTATTTGATCTTATGAGNATATATGATTATGATATAGATAAATGAATAATTGCCTTTTCATTTGCTTTCAGATTTAAATTAATCTAATTTACTTAAAAGAGTGCAATAATAATAATAATAATTATATAGAGATATGTAGATTACATCTTTTGTATAAAAATGCATAGAATTTGTTTGAGGGTAAAAAGGTCATTCATGCTTTGATGGGCATTTTAGTAATCTAATCTTACACTTTGGTCTTCGCACTTATAATACAGTATGACGATGATGATATGATATGATGATTTTAGTAAACTAACTTCACCTAAAAGTGCTCATGCTTATAATATAGTATAATTTTTAGTTTGACACTAAAGTTACATAATTAAAAACTATGTAAAATTCTACTGACACAGAGTTTTTAACAAAACAAGAATCATAGGCAAATAATGAAAGTTACTGAGGTTTTGGAACAATATTATTGAATTGCTAAGTTAGCCTTTGACTATTTAAACCCTCAATCACATCTAGCTAATTAAAGGATCAAATTTTAACTTAATATGCTCTTCAACTTTCCCCCAACTTTTTTAATAGCTTGAGTAATTTACATTCACATCAGGTAAGATCTATTAAGGTAAAAGAGATGAATAAGTCTCATCCATCTACCATATTCCTTACAGCTTGTTTGGATGGCCGTTACCTATTGTATCGTATCGTTACTTTAAACACGATGTTTGTTTTAGTTGTTACTTAAATTTTATTGTATCGTATCGTTAAATTCGTCGTTATGTAACGACAAAATGTGTCATTTTATGTAACGACCGATTTGGTGTGGTTGCGTCGTTATCTTGTCTTTTTCTCTCAACTCACTCTTCATTATTATTAAATTATTTTATTTTATCATTTACCCTACCTTTTTATATAATAAATTTACCCTGTATCATAATTTATCTTTATAATATTACAAATCTATTCTTCATATTGCTAGTGCACGACATCATGAAACAATAGCAAACGATACAATCTATCTAAACATTGTATTCATCAAACGATACAGTACAATACAATACAATACAATACAATACGATACATTATGAAACGATGTGTAACAACCATCCAAACAAGCTCTTAGTGGTTCTCTTTAACAACAAACGAAAAAAAAAAGGAGAAAAGGAGAAATTGGGGAGTAAAAAAAGGAGAAACTTTAAAGGCCGAACTTAAATAAAGTTTTATTTGTCTTTAGAGCCTGTTTGGGCATGAATATTTTTTTAAAAAAAAATTAATATTTAGCCATAAAAATTTCAATTTTCACTTAAGATGAATTTTGAAATTTTTCAAAAACTTTAAAAAAATTTAAAAAATTATTTTTAAAATTTTTTACTCATATCACTCACAAAAATTCAAAAACATCCAAAATTATATTCATGTCTAAACACAATTCTAATTTCAAATTTACTTGAATTTTTTCACTTTTTTTCCCTGGAATTTTATAATTTTTATGTCCAAATGCCCACTAAAATTCGAAAAAATATCATCGGCTAGTCAAAACCACCGTTTGCAAAGTCATTGAAAAATAACCACTATTTTGCTGCAACACGAAAAGTTCCAGCATAATATAATGGAGATTGGAGCACCTATTATGCTGGAAGTCTCCAGTATAATATACTGGAGTTCTAGTATATGGAATATTATTCGGATTTTGAACAATGTTTTTGTTCAGATTTATCTTTACATGAAAAGTGACTAAATTTCGATTACTTTTGAAACTATAGCTATTTTTCAACGACCACTTGTAAATCTGGCTATTTTGAATTTCTCCCCTAAAATTCTTTGGACCAACTCCAAACAGGCTTTGATGATTCACCAAATAAATCAACGTGGCAAATCTCCATTGGTAAAGACAGTGAAATAATACGCAGCTGAAATAAAGACAAAACTCAAAAAAAACAATTAAAAAGAGTAAACTCTGATCTTCAAGAACGAGAGAAGCAAAAAAAGAAAATAGAGAAAAGCTTCAATTCAATGGCGGAAGAACATGAAAATCACACCTCAACCTCTCAGCAACAATCATATTCTTCTGCTTCCTCTTATCAAAAATCTCCACAAGAACCCCTCAACAAACAAACCCAGGTACCCATTTTTCTCTAATTAAAGATTGATTTTTTTTTATTTTTTATTTTATTGTTTTTGGTGAATTCACGAATTGACTTTTGGTGGAAAATATTTTGTTGGGTGTGTTTGGTTTTAGTTTCATTTGAATGTTTTGTGCTGATTTACCCCTTTTAATATTTTTAGTTTATTTTATATTTTCCAATTAGATGTGTGATGAGCAAAGCAAAATTTTATATTTTTGGTGGGAGATTCTGCTAGGGTATGTTAGAATTGATTTTAATGTTTTGAGTTGATTTGGCTTAAAAAGTCCTTGTATACCATTTGTATCTACGATCCAAAAAAGTCCATAGAAATTTGGTTTTGATTGTAGAATCTATATATTTGATGGAGGTTTAGCTTTTTGGCATTTTTTGCCCGTGAATTTCGTGAATTTGTTCAGCTTTATTGTTGTAGCTGATTTAAAGATTCTGATATAGGCCAAACGAGTAAGTAGAAAAAATGTTTGCAATTTGAAGGTAAAAGAGTTAAGCTTTTGGGTTGCCTTGGTACAAGATAATTATCAGAGATTCCCGGCTTATATTTCCTACTTGCTTTTTTTGGGTGGGGGGTTGGGTGGCGGGTGCTACAGTAAATCTCATGGCTGAACCCTCTTCAAGAGACAATACCGGCGCTTTCCCACTTTGCTCCCCTAATGACTTGAAATGCGAACTTCTAGGTTGAAAGTGGAGTGCCTGTTGGCCAGTGGAACAACCTCACTTGTCAGTTTCTGGGGTTAAATCTTTGGAGTTCTGTATTTTTCAAGTGTCGAACACTAACCTCTCTTGTACACATCCCTTACGCACCTGCCTTTGAGTGTTCCACTGTACACCAACCTTACACAGTGGAAGTGAGCAACAGTGAAGAGAAGTGCAGTGTCTTGGAAGTTACTTGTCTTGAATAAACTTAATGAAACTCTCGATTTGCTTGCTTTTGACGTCATTATCAAGGATCCAACATCTCTATTTGTAAAGCCATCAACTGCGGGACGAACATTGGTATGAGTCAATGTCATGTTTACACTAATCGGAGAATATTATTAGTAAATCTCCATGGACTTGCTAAACATATGCTGAATCACTAGACAAAAGGGCGGGGTGGGGTGGGGATCCTATTATCTTTACGGAGCCACTAAATGCTACACCCTCCGTTTGTGATGTACTTTGATTGGGCACGGGGTTTAAGAAAGAAAGAAAGATTTTTGAAACTTGTGATCTAAAATAAGCCGTAAATATTTGTGATACTATAATCATCTCATTAAGGATAAAATGAAAAGTTTAAAGTTAATTTTTTTCTAAATCTAGAAATGTATCATTCTTTTTGGAAAAAAGTAAATAAGCAAGTGCATCACATTAATTGGAATAGAGGAAGTATAATCCTATGGTGTTGGGAGGCTAAATTGCAGATTGAAATGTAGATTTTTTGAAATGTCTATCTAATGTTCAGTCTTTTTTGGTTTTCTTAAGGTTTAATAGGCAAATAGATACTCGTACTTCCACAGAATTCTGTTGCTGAGCCCAACACTAAATCGCAGATTAAATGTAGACTTTGTTTCTGACCCCCAACACTAAATTGCAGGTTAAATGTAGATTTTTTGAATTGTCTATCTAATGTTGAGACTTTCTTAGTTTCATAAGATTTAATAGGCAAATAGATACTCTTAGTTGCATGGACTTTTTTCCTGGCCCCTCAACATCACGAGTTTTCATCCAGACACCTGAACATATTCAAACCTGTGTTTAAAACACCTACGACCATCCATGTTCCTCACTTGCTTGACGTGGATGACACATCTCTCTTTCTTCCTTTAGATAAACTTTATTAATTTAATTTTTGTATGGAAAAACCATTGGAAGTGGCTAATAGGGGATTTTACAAAAGCTTGCCGAAGTGGCCAATTCATCCGGTAAGAGTTTCACTGGAGACAATCACCATTACATTTGGACTCTTCACCCATTAAATCTCTCTCCCATCTCCTTCCCTGTAATGCCGCCCCATTCCCTGAAAAATAACTCAGGCAGTTCCCTCAAACCTTCTCCATTTCCACAGTATAAACCCACCAGGCACACCAACTTATATCCACCATCCTCACGGCCAAAAATTGCCCTTCCTCCGTTTTTTTGAGCCATTCTTCTTCACCAAGAGGAAACACCAGCAATACCTCCCTCAGTTAGAGCCTCTCACATCCAACAGTGCCAAAGAAAGTGGGATGGGAAGAGGAACCAGAAAGGGGAGGGGAAAAAACTCAAACCACATTCACTTCTTTAGTTTCAACTTATGATCATCTGGATGAACATTAGTGTCAGCTTTTTCATGGATGGACAGATCTAGGAGATTCCTTTGGCTGGACCTCTCTATTATGCAAATCTATAGGTTTCATATGCCCTGCAATTATGATGGTTAGGAAGGTGCAAGCACAAGAGTCACTGCCATTTAGATCTTTCATCAGTGTTTCCAGTGTTAGAGATCAGACAACATAAATTGGTCACAAAAATTGGAAGTTCTTGATAATGAGAAGGGAGAAACTTCTTTGAAGTTCAGCTGCTGAAATCCACTTTGATGATTATTTCTACTTCCAAATCGATGAATCTGTTGGCAAAGAAAGGGATGGGGAAGGGATGTAGGAGGTGATGGAGCAGAGAGGTTACGTAGTAGCGGTGAAGGAATTTTTAGGGAATGGGTTTGTGTGCATGTGGAGGGAGGGTGTGGGGTGGGGGGCAAGAAAGAAGAAGAGAATGGGGTAGGGGGAAGGAGAGGGAGGAGCAGTTTTGTTTAAGAATAAATTATTAACTTTAATTTTTGTTAGTTTCTTTTCATTACTTTTTTACTTTAATCTTTCTTTTATCAAAATCACTACCATTTCACTCTCTTCACATGCTTGTATTTCAAGCATTTCTTCCAACTCAGCCAAATTGATGCCACATAAGCTTGGTCAACGCTCAGAGGTGTTCAAAACATTTGTTTTGATCAAGTTGAAGTGTCTGGTTGAGAACTCATGAAGTTGAGGGGTCGGCAATAGAATTTCGTGCAAGTACGAGTGTCTGTTTGCCTATTAAGCCATTTCTAATGTATTGACGCAATGATTACTGTTTGTGCTTCATATACAAGGGATCGCATTTGGAATATGCTTCCTTTTTGTGTTTGCACCCTTTATTATAGCAATGATGTAGTAGGTAATCAGAAAATGGTTATCAGTTACATTTGGATACAACAATGATATATTTTGCGATATTACTTTAACTAAAGAAAAATAAAACTGATGATATTTTGCAATATTGCACATGGGGAAGAAGGATATTTCAGAACAGCCTGATACTGATTGGGATTTAAGAACCAAGAAATAGCTCATTTAGCACTGCACATCCTGCTTAACTCACCATTCTTATTTTTGTTTGGATTTCTCTTTTAGATATGTTTAATCATATTAAATAAGATAGAATTAGATAAGTTTACCCACATTGCTTGTGGCATTTTTCATTTTGGTTTAAAACATGAGTATCCTATAAACTTGGCTCCCAATAATATCAAATTAAAAGAAGTTCTCCTTATCCAACTTATTTTTTCCCACGGGTACTTTTGAAAAGACTAGAAAATATATCTTTCATAAGCGACATGGCTTAAATCTGCTAGGAGAAGAAACTCCTTATCCAACTTGTGGACCGTAAGAATCCCTTTTTAGAGTAAGATTTGTCATTAAATCCTACCTTCTCATTATCTGGTTATTGTCTGGCATGTATCAAATCAAGATTAATGGGGTGGTAATTTGGAAGAATAACTTGGAAAGATGCTTCTCTGTTATGAACTTGGTTGCACCTCTTACGATAATCCCTTAATTTGGCAGGATTATAAATCTTTGTCCATGTCTAACAGTGCCATCATGTGATTGTCTTTATTAGGCCCTTTAATGTCAGAGGCCAGCCTTTTGGTAGGCAAATGCCTTTGTAACTTTGAGAGTCGGGACATTTTTCGACCACAGACTTTTTCCTTTTCCTTGGATTTATTTATTGCCTAGTGTCTTATGAAAGAAACTTCTTGCTTGCATTTGAGAAGTTATTCGCTAATTATTTTATCTGTTCTTGTAGCTCCCATCATTTCATGGTTCACCCTTATTAAATTATCAGATGCTCCAATCCATGTATCCTACACAGCTTCCTGGAGCTTTCAATACACAGCCAATCCAGGAGGAGTTGAACCGTGGACCAGGCCTTTATGCTGTACCTATGGGACAATATGGAGGGTTTCCACCAAATACTCTAATCCCATTTACTTACACAGTACCTACGTAAGTGTCCCTGGGCCTTCAGATCTAGCTTCTTCTGTTGTATAAGTTGTCTTCGTCGTCATCATCTTGCATAGCCTCTGTAATTGGCATGGCTGACTTTCCTTCCAAAACAACACAGGAATTAAACTGTCTAGTCATAAAGGACCTTTATGTTTCCTTATTTTCCATTGTGTCATTGAATTAATGACATCATATTCAGCTCGCTGCTTCAATTGTTGTTTTGTACTCAGGAGCTAGTCCGAACTTCTTTGTAATTTCTGCATCTTCTTGATGCCATCAATCTAACACCTTACTTCATAAAAAATAAAAAAAAGATTAATGTATCTGCCTAGTATAACACAGGTTCTATATTTGATGTAGCAAGAATTGCTGACTTCTTCGCAGTATTTATCAATTAACGATGCTTTTAGTTTTAGTCAAAGCTAAAGTTCTCTGTTCAGGTGTAACAACATGTCAGGTTTTTACAAGGTTTTTGTTCTCTATTCAGGAGTAACAACATGTTGGGCTTTTGCAAAATTCTCTTCTGCATCAGTAAAAGTGTGTTTTAACCATTTTTGTCCATTTCATCAATAGGTGTCATTTCACGGGCAGATTAACACTTCTGGCTACACAACGGAAGTGTGGTAACTGAAGTTGCCGAAGCCTAGCTTACTCGCTCCTTAAAAATAATCCAAGAATAGGAAATTAATAATTAAAAAAATGAGAATAATGACAAGAACGGATGGAGCTTACCTGTCACAGTCCATTTAAGTCGGAATGAGGATAATGTAGATACTGAAAAGATACTGACACCTTCCAAAATTTTCTTTACGTTAGAAATGTTCGACACCCCTTTGGCTTGTGAATTTATTGGGAAATTGAAGTCCAAACTTGCATATATGAATCCTCACTGACCATGTCGTTCCATTTAAGCTCTCCTCAGATAGTTCTCTTAAATTCTGGAAAGTTATGTTAGATAGCTTTTGTAGGTTAGTAATCTTGGGATCTAGTTAACTTTTGGATCATGTGGTGGGGAGGGAGAAAAATCGTGAATCTGATTTATTTATTTGAATCGAAGAACTTTATCTTTTTAATGATGACATATGTGGCATTATATCATCATTAAGGTTAAACTCCAGAATCAATCGCACATTGATAGGGAGCCTAATATGGAAATGTACTGTGTTGGACAGATTTAGGTAACTCTAGTGCCTTTTCCTATGCATACTTGGCACCTTTTTTGGTGCTGATTATTAATAATACTACTTTTTATTTTACCTGATCAAAAAAATAAAAATATGTTACTACGCTAATTTCTTTTTCGATTCACCCTTCAGTGTTCGTGTCTTTAGTTGTGTATCTGATAATGGTTTTCATTATTACTTGTAATGCTTGAAAATATACAGTGGTTTGTTACCATTGTTGTAAATATTATCTACTTAAATGCCATTAGCCTAGAATACTAGGGATGAAGCAATACAAACTTCTTGTGCACGTGGCAACTAATAGTTATATATCCAATTAATTACATGCCATGTTATTAATATCTTTGTTCCGTTCATTTGCATATCTAGTCTGACAAAACATGAAGCCCTGATGTTGAGTGCATAAACGGGAAGTATTGGAAATTGTGATCTTAAGTTTCTTAAGAAGGTTACTTCCGTATAAAATCCTACTCCTTTCTAAAAGAAAAAAGCATGGCTGCTCTTGACAGTGGACCTAGTACTCCAGATAATGGGACAGTAGGTGAGGAGCAAGGTCAGATGGGACAGCAGCAGCAGCAGCCTCTGCAGCAACAGCCTGGGCCACAACGTCAAATAGTTGTCAGAAGATTTCAAATTGCATTTCAGCTAGATATTTTGCTTATTTTGAAGCTAGCTGCGGTGATATTTTTGTTCAATCAAGATGGATCGAGACAGAGGCTTGTTCTGCTTGTGTTCTTAGCTTCGCTTGTCTACCTGTAAGAATTTGTCGGTTATGATCACCTTTTTAATATCCTTCTCATTTATTTATTATTTTATTATGAATAAACAATTTGGTCTTAGAAAGCTGTTGTGAACGTTGAGTTTTGTTTGGATGTGTCAAATGCTGCAAACTGTAGAGAATATCGAGCAACCAATTTTTGGATAAAATTACTACACATATATACTGTTAACATAACCTATATGAATTAGAATGTGGATATCCTAAAAGATAACAATAAAGCTGGTCCTTTTTCTTTGAAAAAAAGAAGCTAGTTGGCCCTATATTGGTTTTCTATTTGTATCGTTCTCCTAAATAGCATTCAGATCTCCACTTGCTTTTATAGTCTATAATATTCCTTAGTTTCCTTTCTTGGGCATAGCCTTTTGGTGCTTTTTGTATCCTTCTGGTCTCTCTTAATGATTGTGGATTGCTAGAGTGCATTGTTCATTGTCTTGAAGGTGAACCCTCTAGCTTTTCTCCCGATCATTTTTGCTGGTTTACTGGCCCCATTGGATATGTCTACACCACAAGTAACCAACTCGTTTAAGTGTCTTTAGTGCTATAATGCCTCTACAGTTTTGTATTTGTTAGTTGTTTCTTTTAAGGATAAAATAATATAATGTTATGTATTTTAGTGGAATGAACAATGAAGGAGGGAAGGCTTACTGTTATGTTGTTATGTTCATTGAAATACATGTAATTTATATAATTTGTCATCGAGTCATGCCATATATTTTCTGTTGGTGATTGTAGATATCAAACTGGAGCTCTGGCACCTTTGGTACGATGGCTTTCACAAGGAATGCAGAGGGCAGCTGCACCTCCCCAGCCACCTAGGCCGGCTGTCAGGGCAGATAATGTACCAGCTGCCGGAAGGCAAGGAAATGGGAATGTTGCAGCTGGAGGTACGTCCGTTCAATTCATGTACGATGAACAGATAAATGCATCTTAGGTGGTGCACATGGGGACTCTGGGCTTTTTGTAATGCCCAGCACCATCTTGGGGCATAACCATTTACATTAATTATACGTACGCTCTCGAAAGAAAGATAACACATTGCAGGCTGGAGTACTGATAAATGGATAGCTAATGGCAATTTCAATGCTTGGTTCTTTCTTTATGTGTTGGTTTCAAAATTTTAATCCCTCGTTGCAAAATTCATGCTTCAATAAAGTTGTTTTCATGTCAGTCTTGAATGTCACCTCGGAACGGCGCCCTTTATTGGATTACTTCTAAGCATAAGATTTAACTCTTTATTATTTGTTCTGACAGAGGGACAACCTGGAGGCGAGAATGAGAATCAACAAGGTAACGACGTAAATAGGGTAGGCGAGAACGAGCATGCAGCGGAACCTGGTGCTGCTGATGGTGGAAATCGCTGGTGGGGTATTGCAAAAGAGATACAAATGATTATCTTTGGGTTCATCACTTCTCTTCTTCCAGGTTTTCACAACATTGATTAGACTGTACAGATCAAAGTAGCAGTAGATAGCAAAGAGAGGGATAATGAGAACTTTCCTTGTTTCCATAATTTCAGTGGCCAGTTACTACTGCTAACTTGTGTTTGTGAGAACATTAAATGTACTGATAGATATATTCTCTCCTTTTTGGTCATAAGTTTGCATGTCAGTCTTGCTCTCAGTTTGATTGGCAAGGCTTTGTGTTTAATTAAAATGGAAATAGTTGCTAAGATCTCTTTCGTTCGTTTATAATTGAGAAAAAGGTCGAGAAGAGAGAGAATGATTATTGTGGTGAATAAAACATGCCAAATTCATTTTCAGCATGAGACATAACTTTTTATCGTACGTAACTCATAAAGAGTAGTGAACTAGGGATCATATTCTAATTGGTTTGATGATTCCGACCCTCCTTTTAGAGGACCTTTGTTTTACGTGGATAAAGAAAGTATATTCTAATTCTTGGATTAATTTATAGGCAAAATATATAAACGGCCCCTTTAAGTTGTCCTCAGCGATCATTCAAACACTTCAACTGAGCCTATTTCCAGTTAGACAGTTCTGCTAAGTAGAAATATGTCTCTTAAACCCCTTACGCTGACATGGCAAATTTTGTGTATTACACTCGATTGGAGCGCGTAAAACTTTTTCAAATTAGGTTTATCCTTTTTTTCCTTCCAAATCTCAATGTGGACCCCACCTCCTTCTTCTCCACACCAGATCTTTCTTTCCACCTTCCCCTTCCATGTCATAAAACCATCAGGTAGCGCCACCACAAGATATCCATTGAGCTTCATCATTTTCGGAATTACATAGATAAAGCATATTTTTTACTTTTCTTTGTTCCATAGAAACTCATAAAGAAAAAAACACATCCTGGACAGAATTTCCCTCACCATCACAACCACCGGCCACCACTAAACAAATCCAAAATATCAAATCTAACAGCTAATTTCAGTGCCATGTCCAAGCCTCAATTCAATTATACATCTCTATCACATACAACAATCAATCGTAACACATTCCTCTCACCATTTTCCATTAGACTAAACACCAAATCACTTAGAGAACACACATCGAAAGACCTTTGATGTTCTCCGTATCATCTCCAGCATTATACCACCAAAGAACCACTATCACATCCTTTATCTCCCTTTACCCCAAAATTTTAATTTCACCACAATTGAATTTGGCAATTGGTCCTTCACTGGTGAATATCAATCAATTAAGTGGGTTAGGGTGATTTCTGATTTGGTTTTGAGAAAGAAAAGAAAAAAAAAGTGGAGGGGGTTTGGCAGGCGACGGTGACCTAATAATTGGGGTCGGTAGGAAAAGTTAATACATATTTTTTTTAGACAAATACACGTGTCATTTGATGATTTGTCTGTTTGACACGCCATCCACAATTGTAACTCACGCATGAGATTTGTTGGTCTTTGGTGTTTAGTTGACCTACTTCATTAAAGACTTGAAGTGTCTAACTGGAAATATGCTCGGTTAAAGTGTTTGAATGATCGTTGAGGACAATTTAAAGGGACCGTTTATGTATTTCGCCTATTATTAGTTGTAATATTATTTTATGCAATACTTTTTTATTATTTTTGTCAGCCAATGCCATAAACAATTCTTTTGACAGCAAACATAAGCAGAACTTTGGTGATGAGTGTAACAACTTGAAGACAAAAAAACGAGTTTCCTACCTGGCAAGTTATAGGCACTGAACTAACAATATTGTCAATCTATAATAAAACTAGTTAAACAAAAAAGGTTCAGAAAACTTACATATTCACTAAGTTTCAGGATATTCCAATTCATAATTATCGGCAAATAATCTGATAGGACGGTTACAATAGTGGATTGGTGATGAAATTGAAAGCCCGTCTAACTTCGAATGCCTATCTGAATTGTTATTGTTTTTAAATAAATTCATAAATATAAGATTGTCTCAGCAAATCCGTAAATGCATGCAAATTCTTTTTGTGTTCACTAAAATCCCCTATAATAATCCATGGGGTATTCTGCACCAAATGTCTTTTACTTTTTTCTAAATCAAAGCCACGTTGTGGATCTCCATAAACTCCAAAAAGTTGAAAGGGATACTTAAGTTTTTAACTAACTTAAATTCTAAGCATATATATTGATTTTTGCCTTGACTAGATCCTTGAAAGCAGAAGACATTTGACATAATTGGTATCCCATATTATTACTATGCTCTCTCATAAGAACGAATGTTATTTGTGGATTGTTGTTCCTCTGTACTTGTAAATAATGATTTTGGAAATTAGAACGTTAGCTTATAAACGTAAATATAAATAAAAAACAGAAATTAATTCGAGCCCACTGAATTCACAGTGTTTCCTTAAGGAATTTAATCCCCTCCTAGTACCCAAGGTTATAGATTATTTCCTCCCAGGATAGAACGAATTACACACTGGTGTAGCGGTACTTCAAACCGCAGTGTTTCAACGAACACAAAGTTCGGCAACAAATCACACTTATGGATGCTTTGTTTGTAGTTAAAAACAATGCAGAATAAGGAGGACAACTCAGAAGTCGAATGGAAATTCTGAGAGGAAGGAATGCAAAGTATAGCCAATGTTGAATTCTTACTGAAGAGAATATCAAATTGCAATTCGTTTTTCCAGTGTATACGCAGTGTATACAAAATGTATATCTAGTATATGCAGAGTGTATATCCAGTGTATACAGAGAGTATATTAAGTGTATACAGAGTGTTTCAAGTGTTTTTTCCGATGTGTTCTTCTTTCTCTCCAACTTATGCTCTATTTATAGCAGTTATTTGAGAGAAATCCGCCCCTTCCATGGTGCAACAAGCACTAGATCATGGAGAAAGCACTTACATGGTGGTATATACACTTGCTTGGTGGGAGGAACACTTGCACCATTGTGGGAGGTGCACTAGGCTGCATTGTTGCTTAGTGTTGCAACACAATACACGGATTGGAAAACATCTGTTACAAACACGGATTATATCACGTTAATATTCACTATTAACAAATAAATTTGGTCCAAAAAATTAATCAATCGATCGATCATTTGACCAAATCCGAATCCAAATCCCATTTCCCATTCACTCTAATTTTAAGACTATTTCATCTTAAACAAAAACTCAACATGGACTGCTAACCTCTTGTAATATAGATATGTGCGGATGATTGTCCCTTAGAAATTGTTTAATATATTTATCTTTTCTGAACTACTTTCACATTTATTAATATTCCAAGATAGTAATCGCACTTGTGAAACTCGTGCAGAGAAACTTGCATCTCCACTCATTTTACATTTCAATAGCAAAGTAATATTTTTTTTTTGGTTGGAAAGATAGGCACATCCGTTGTACAAAGATAGAGCTAGGCTCTTGGTCTCCCACTACTTGGGAAACAGGACTAGTACTTGAAGTATTAGCTACTAAAGAAGTTCTTCTATTACACATACTAGATAAACTATATGAGCCAGAGAGAGACTGTGTAACATTCCTACTAGGCTGCCGAGTCATCCTGCTATGGAGTGTGCCCGGGTGATTTTGTTCATAACAAGACATAGCAAAAGGTGGGGGTGTTCCAAAAAGTAGGCATTGTTCCTTTACATGCGTTGCACCATATTTAGCTAATCTATCTGCTACACAATTCTGCTCTCTGTATATAACTTGTACGGATGGACTATCCAGCTGTTGGAGCAATGACCTGCAATCATTAATAATATTAATAAAGCTCATTGCCGGTGTTTTTAACATACCAATTATTGCTTGTGCATCCATCTCAATGATGATTGGTATAAGCCTTTGTTGGATAGCAATTTGTAATCCTTTGAGGAGTGCAAGAAGTTCTATTTGTATAGTGGTGCCTTCTTTGACAAACCCAACAAAGCCTATTACCCAATTGCTTTGATGATTGCGGATAACTCCACCAATTCCATAAGCGCTTAGAGCCGGGCAGCAAGATCCATCAATATTTAATTTATAAAACATATGATCTGGTGGATGCCATTTGATATAGATAGGAGACTTTGAACTCTTCTTAATAGAGTGATTAGTTAAAAAGTAATATTCAGCTACCTTTACTAACAGAGAAGGCAGATTCAAGTCGTTTATTTTATGTTCATAAACAAACTTATTCCTTTTAAGCCAAATTTCCCACAATGCAAAAGGAATCATAATTGTAGAAGGGATGTTGTGAGGTGTAGAAAGCAAAGGTGTACGTATAAATTTATACAACCAAGTCATAATCTCATTTTGAGGAACTGCTATTGTGCTAGTGGGAGGTGATATTCTAAGAGATTTCCAAAGAAGTATGGTGTTAGCATAATGTTGAAATAAATGACTAATTGTTTTGTGACATTGTGGACAGCTTGCTGAATTAGTAATACCCAATCATGTAAGATACACAGTTGTTGGGAGTATGTTATGACACATTAGCCAAAGGAAAAAAGATAATTTAGGGGGACTTGAAAGAGTTGGTTAAGCATGTACCATTAGTTGTATTAATGGTGATTAAACATTAACTGAGAAGATACCATTCTCTGTTAAATTCCAGTAAATTTTGTCATAGTTTGTGGGTTCAATTGGCATATAAATATTATTAATAAGGGAATTTATATGTAAGGGTAATTCAAAAGGTATGTTATCTAGGTGCCAACTATTATTATAGTAGTAATTAGAAACTAGTTTGTTTTCCTCAAATTGAGGCATTGATCCATTAATGTAGCATCTAAGTATGAAATTATGCTTGAGCCAGGGGTCGTCCAGAACTTAACATGTTGTCCCGTTGCTATATTCCATTTATAACCTAATCTGCAATATTTCCAGCCATTAATAATATTACGCCAAGTAGTAGAGCTATTGTAACTTTGTAGAGGCTTTGGCCGTACATAATTATGTAAAAGGACTTTTGCCCATAACTGATGTGGATCATTGAACATTCTCCATGCAAGGCTTGCATGAAGTGACTTATTTTTTGTATCAAGATTTTGTATACCTAAACCCCCAAGTTCCAAAGGTTGCGTGATTGTAGACCACTTAAGGAGATGTAATTTTTTCTTTTGAGCAGTTGTGCCCCATAGGAAATTCCTTTGGTACCTGTTAAGGTAGCTTAGTATATAACTAGGTATTTTTATATATTGCATCAAGTGATTGAGAAGATGGTTAAGGGTGGATTTTATTAAAGTTAGTCTTCCCGCTCGAGAAAGAAAATTAGTTTTCCAGCCTGCCATTTTTGT